CCGAGGGTTTTTAGGCTTGAGTCTGATGGCTCTTACTCTTTTGCCTCTCCTGCGGGAAGTGAGAACATTTTAGGGTCCATGGGAGTTGTGCTGGTAGGAAGATACACGCAGCGGTTTGGTGCCCTGTTGGCACGCATGTGGGCTTGTGCTGTGTGAGCGCTGCCCTGGGAAAGGCCTTCTGCTCTTTGTGTGTGGCCATCTTTGAAGGGCTGTGTGAGCCTTTAGCGCTTCTCAGCTGTGGACACAGGTAACCACACCTATAGCCTGAGGAGCGCCTGGACACCCAGCTCAATATTTACAGTTAAAAATGTACAACACATTTTTAACTGTAAATATAGAGTTTGGGATTGCTTTAAGTGTTTTTTTGTGTTTTGATTTTTGTATGTTGTGTGTGTGTGCGCGTGTGTTTTCTTTTGACAATTAGTGCTTTATTTTTCTAAAATAAAAAATCAGTTTTAAACAAAATACATTTTGTGCTTTAGTAATATGGTTTGGTTTTGTCTCTGCCCCTATCAATTTAAAAAGGGGAACAAACCTGTGTCTGCCTTGTGTAGGGTCCTAGGCCTACCCTAGGTGCCATTGTTGACAATAGCTACATTTTCACCTGTACTTCAAACTCTCGTCATGCCACATAACTCGTTAACATGTCACTGACCTTATCTATTGTTAGGGCGTTGTTTGTAGGACGTCGTCATAGATCCGAGGCAAAACAAATCTTAAACCACCTTCTCTGTTTAGGGATGGTTTGTGTTCCCTCACAAAATGGCTTTTTTCACCCCTCACTCACCCCTCCTTGTTATCATAATTGTTAAAATTTTACTCTGACAATGCTCGTGTTGTCCCTCGATGCTTCCCTGTCCGGTGCTGCAGCCGCAAACTTGTACTATTATGATATGCTCGCTCCACCTTGCAATGTGTGCAAACTACCACACGTTTGACAACTTTTGGCGCTTCTTATTAATTCCCCTGTCGTGCCCTGTGCCTTCTCTGTTGTACTGCATTGTCCGCAAAAACGATTTACAAACACTAGCGATGCATGCAGACCAGTGGTGTGAAGAGCAGGGCACGTAATATCTGTGACGTAAACACGTTGTGAAACCCCACTTTGCCTGAAGCACCCACTGAAAGATCAAGACAATGGGCCTCATTCACGAACCATTCTTAAGAACAAATGTGTGCGTAAATCCTACTTACGAGGATTTTACGAAGATTGTGGCATTCACAAAATTTTCTCGGAACCAGAATTTCTCTTGGGTACGTACAAATCCTACGAGTGCTCAGGGGCACTCTTACGCACATCCAGTGCTGACATGTTCGCACGCTGGTGCTGTCTTCTTTTGTGAAGTTCAATAAAACACAACATTACAGTGATATGTCCGTCATGTTGATGTATGTATTTATTTATTTCATTGTTTATAGTAATTTAGCCTATGTTTTAATTCATTTTGAAATTAAATATGCCAACGCTTTATCAAACACATTGGAAATCATGCCGTCTATTAGTGACCCCATCCTATTTATAGGGGGCACTTCTTTATCCTCGAGCCTCAAAACAATGGCATATATACTGCTGCTGCAGGAGGTTGCGGGGTCCGCGCTGAGCCTCTCCCGTGGATCTATTACGGGTCCGCGCTGGTCTCTCCCGTGGATCTATTACGGGTCCGCGCTGGTCTCTCCAGTCTATGGTCTCCATATATGTCTCTCCTCGGGTCTGAATTGGTCTCAGCACTGGTCCGCGCTGGATCTCCTCCCAGGGTCAAAAATATTTTGAGATTAATCTCATATCATTTTAGATTAATCTCATAACATTTTGAGATTTATGCTAAAATTAATACATGATATATGTTTAAATTAATCTCATTATATTTATAGATTAACCTCATAATATCTATTGATTATTCTCATAATTTTTCTAGTTCGACTTTATTTTCATAATATTTCGACCTTAAAGTCAAAATGTTATGACTTTATTCTCAGTTTGGCAAAAGAAGAAAAAATGGTGACTCTTTTGCTCCGTGTAACTCTTTGCTTTAGGCATGATGCTGTGTCCTCTGGCGTCTGCACACGGCCCTGCAGTCCCTTTTATGGACATTAATGGGCGGTTACCTATGCATGGGTTAAAGTTGAAAAAATTCCTGAGCCTGAACCATCTATATGAATCATAGAATGATCACTAATAAGCGTTTTTTATAAGCGGCCAGGGGTTAAAGCAAAAAAAAAAGATTTGACTGAAAATTTTAATCTATAATGAATTACAGATCAAACGAATTCTTCAAAGATATACATTTAAACTGGTGTATTTTGATTTGAAATTACAACCAGTGGATCAAGCAACTTGTCAACTCTTTGACAGAATATTAGTGAGAGTAGTTCATCTGCATCATTGGCTTTACTTGAGGCGAGATGAGGCGTTGTCCTTTGGCTCTGTCCTCGTCAAAATATCGCAAAAGGACATTCAAAATTCTGTCCACATTTGTTTGTGGACACTCAATGTTTAAGAAAAAGGTTTCCCTATCAACTTGGTGCTAGTGCACAGCGCAGTTTTATCAACTGCAAATGATTAATGATAATTAAATCTACCAGCGGTAGTGATGGTTCTGAACGACAGGTTATTTTCTGCGATAAAGCAACTCTTAGTTTTAGGTCACAGACACAGTCCACCAGAGCAAGCCTAGTCTCAGTTGTCGCTGAATCTGATGCACCAGGTAAAGAAGTGTGGGAAAGTGCACGGACAGCTGCCAAGTGCGCAGTTTTGAGCTGGTGGTGAATCCAAAGCTGTTTTCTCATTACTCCCATATAAAAAAATAATAATAGCGAAGTACGAACAAGCACCGGACACCTTCATCTTTTTGCACCAGGAAGCAACAGAATCCCATCGTCTCCACCTCATCCAGCCATGCCCACCTCCATTTATTTTTCACTGTTATCAACAGCAACTTATACTGCTCCTTCTTCCATAAACAACGATCCATGATTGTGATTGTGCGTGCATGCTAGGCTAGCTTTGATGAAATGAATTACTACTACTACAACTACTACTTTGATGAATGAATATAAGACCTGCTAACACACACCTTTCTTCTGCGAGTTTCTTCCGTTCGCTCTCGTTGATTGGCTCTTTTTATCACGCAGTTTTGCATGGGGATCGCCACCAAGATATTATCAAAAGCTCACCAAGACATGCTTGTCCCCATTCCCAGTCACAGCAAAGTACATATTGTACATTCCGTTAAATAAAAAAGCATTGCGTTTGGTAAACGTTAATTATGTCCTACCTTTCCTCTGATAACGCGCCTAGCTTACCGGTCCGCGGGCTGCTGGCTGTTATTGCTCCGTTCGGGATTACATTTTCCTTGTCCTCTTCTCCTTTTCAAAAGCTCCGTGCACTTTTCAGAAACTTTCACATCCGTGTTACCATCGCTAACTTGGCTACGTCCCATTGCCTTGAATCATTTACGGAGCGCTCATGTAGCTAGCCACGGCACGTTCAAGGCCCACTCGTGATGATATTACTTTTTATTTCTATATACATATAAATACAATTATATTCAAATTATTAATATATATCTAGATATATACAACAGATTCACACGTATTACTATATATTTTGTTATAATTAACCATTTCATTGTGTGTATTATATTATTATTATAAATTTTGTTTTTTTTTTCAGACCAATTTCATTTGACGGAAATCCGTCACTTAGACGGAACTCTTTAATCCCTGCGCTATACACATGCAATCCTTTCATACAATTGGTAGAACACACTTGAACCTTTTTCAAATGACAGCAATCATTATTTATTTATATATATATTAAAAAAAAGAAAAAGTGATGTTTTTTTTTTTTTTTTTTCTCACGCCGGATTTCCGGCATGGTGCCGGAAAACTTTAAGCCCTGCCTATGCTAAGTACCTATGCTAATGAAGCACCTGGCACGCGTGCTCCACTCACGAGGAGTGCTTTCCGCACATGCAAGTCTGCAGTATTGTAAGAAAATGTCGACCAAACTTACAAAAACAACTTTGCACGTGCGAGTGCGAATGGGGAGAGAGCAACGCATGTGACAAACTGGGCAGCCATCTGCCATGTGCCTGGTGTCTACCGGTGCATGTGTACTTGGGTATAGCTCCGCAGAGACAGGTTTAGAGTTCAAAAATAATGATTTTATTTATACATGTTCTTTTAACTGAACTCTAGTTTGTTATTATTAATTAATATGAATATTAAATCAAACCAACCCCCTGTCCAGAATACAAAAACCCAAAGTAATCTAATTAAAGGTGGACCTGGTGGGTCAGCCAAAACAAAAAAAATGGGCCGACACCGAACCAACCCTACACAGGGCCGTCCGGATCCGATGCCGGCACCCTAACTAAAGAATAACCAAAACCCAACTAGCTACACCCTCAAACGAAAATGTAACCACCGGACCCACCAGATCAAACAAGAAAAAATGCTAACCAAATCATGCGGCGTCTGGGGAGGCCGCAAACCAGGACTAGGAGGGAGCGCGCAGCGCGTGCACGCTCACCTCAGCAGGTGTTTGCAAAAGGCTGAGAGCAGAGAGGGGCGGGAGCGCACCAGGACAGCGCTTCTTATACTCCCGACCCGAGCTGCAAAATATACAAAATAAGTTACAAAAACGTTATCAAAAATGCAACCTATAAAATATACTTATACAAAACACAATCTTACAAAAATAACTATAAAACCCAAAAATACCTGGACAAAAAAAGATAAGACATAAAACCAAAGGGGGGGAAAAGGTGCCCAAACATAACAGCCCCTCCATGACAAATTCACAACATTCTTAGTTATCTCTGCTTAGCAAGATAATTACAATTGATTTCTGGTTTTTTTCAGTAGAATCAACTAATTGTATTTATTATTTACATACATTTTTATAAAACAAAATAACATTAATAATGATTACTAAAAAGTGTTAGTACAATGATTATCAGGGCTAAGAGTGTGTGCACGGCCTTAGTTGCTATTGGCTACGGGGGCCAGAAAGGGGGAAATGGGACACAAGATAGGGACCGGACCACAAACACAGAAATGGGAGGAGCCGGCGCATGTTTCTCCTGTGGCAGGCGGGGACACTTTGCAAGGGAATGCCCACAGAAAAACAAGAACTCAGGGCCCTGGAAGTTTCGCCCCAAAACAAAAATAAACGGTAAAGTGAGCAGCCAGGGCAAAGTGAGCAGCCAGGGGACATCCCAATGCACGAGGAGAGGGGGAGGTGGACCGAATATGGCCGTGGTCGTGGGTCTGGGGACAGATATCAGGGCGACTGACAAGGCGGGGTGAGTCCGAAGGAAAGGGGAAGCGTGGAGGATGATGCGGCAAAGCGAGCAGACCGTGGACATGTTAAAGTAAACAAAACACAACTCGAACATGACTCTCAGGTGGAGACTAATGTGACTGTTGGCGTGTACATATGTGAAGATTATACCAAAATCCCATTTCCAGAATTGAAACTGATGCTGAGAATGGAAACATTCAGCTATCGGTTTTCAGCATTTGTAAACACCACAGTTTTGGTTTGAGAGGCTCAGTGTGCTGAGCTCCATGGCCTGAGAGCGGTGGCCTTCCAGAACCGTCTGGTGCGTCCACTGGTGGTGTCTGTGCCTGGGTGGGAAAATCCTGTTGCACGTACATCCCAGCTAACGAGGAGGATGGGGGTTTGATTGCGCAGAGAATAGCCAACTTAACCAGGCTCCGAGACGCAATGGAAGGGGAGGGAACGAATGGTCCATTTTCAAGGTCCAGCTGGCTGACCTCCTCTTGGCGGCACCTGCTGATCAATGTGGCCTCTATTTTGTTTATAGTGATCATTGATATACAGCCAAAATCGGGGGTCCTAGCCATCCAGTATTTTGAGAAAGAGCGTGACTATATTTCAGACTCTGAGGACGAGGAGTACACCCATGTCCGGGTTGTAGGCTAGGGTTGCAGGTGTCGGCATGGGGAGGGGTGGAGGTCGGCTGATGGCTGTCAGGTCCAGTAACGCTTCGCCCCCCCGGGTCGGGGTCTGTGACTCAACCAGTGTGATTAATCAATTCAAGAAAATAAGTGTCGTTTCCTTTTACTGTAATCAAACTGTGAATATACTTATTCAAAATGCTCACATTTTTGTTTTTGTTGATGAATTTGTTCTTGTGATTTATAAGTGTGATTTCTATAGCTAAAATCAAGTTTATTAAGATAAACAGGGTTTTATATTATCCAAAGGGTGGATTATTGTAGAAATCCAAGTGGGATTTTAAATAAATCTAATTTAAGAATAAATCTAATGATGAATCATGCACTCTGGAACAAAGGTCAAGCTAACTATCTGTTGTTCTACAGAAGCGTCGAGACCAAGAAGGGTAGCAGATGCTAGCCTGGTGGATCCAGTGATTGGGGCACCTGTGCATAAATGTGTGTGTGTCAGTAACACTCTGTCTGCTCTGCTCCCTCCAGGTACTGGATCTTTTGTTCTTTGTTTTGTCATTCGTTAAGATTAGCTTTGTTTTCACACTCAGACATATACTCACATACACTGGTTTTCATTCACTGACTTGCACACACTGCACAGATTCCACTGCTCACATACTCACACCTCATTCTTGTTGATTATTATATTTTGTTTGTAAGGTAATAAAATGCACTGCCCCCGCGATGACCCAGGCAAGCCGGCCAAGCCGGTTGTGTGTGAGATAACAAAAACACACGGCTCGGAACATCTAAGGCGATGGAGGTCGGATAGAGCAGTGGTTCCCAAAGTGGGGGTCCCGACCCCCCGGGGGGTCGCGGGAACCCCTGGGGGGGTCGCAAGATGATTTCCACACACACAAAAAAAATATTTTTTTTGCTAAAAAAAAAAATATTTTTTTTTTTGCTCAAAAAAAAAAAAGTTTTTTTTTAATATAAAAAAGGGCTTTAAAATATAAAGCCCTTAAATATTTATTTAGCATTTGATTTGATTCAAAAGGACTACTTATTAAATTGTGTTTGGAGACTATAATATATTTTAATAACGTTAGTAATTTTGTCCCAGTCATTGCAGCGTCAATCAAAATCATCACGTAACACAGCTCACATCATGCGCAGCGACAAAGCGTGTCCTGCTGTTGTTTGCTAAAACTAAAGGTGTTTGGAGGCTACAAATAAATAATACCTGCTTTAAAATGAAACGTGGTTAACTCATTCACTGCCCATGACGACAAAACTCGTCATGTTGAATAGTAACGCTCACTGCCCATGACGAGTTTGACGAGTTTTTCATGTTATTACACGGGAGGCTACAGTAATGTCTGGCGCACCTTGTGAATGACCCACAATACTGATATATAGTGCAAATGTACCTGTAATGATAAATCAACACCAGTAGGATGCAGTATTGCACCACAGGAGAGGTCATAAGTCATTGGAGAGAAGGAGGAGGAGTGTGGGAGTGTTTGGAGAGCGTGCTGCTGTAGCAGAGCGAGCGATGATAGCGTAGCATTGAGACGGATCAGCGATCTAGTTTAGCGATAGTATAGCAAGAGTGATGGCGAAAAAGAATAGTTATAAGCAGTGTACACTGCTTCAGAGATTGACTCGCGGATCAGTGAGTGAGGTCGAGAGGGGAGAGAGTGGACACCCCGGTGGAGGTCCGTCTCTGCAGCCACATTTGCGCGGAGCACGAGCCCGGAGCAGGGACACACCTTCCGCCTCTCGCAGCGTATCAGCTGCTGTTGTTACTGATGCCTCGGATTCGTTCAGAGAACCTGATCATGATTTATCGGATGAGTGGTTGCAGTCTCAATCCAGCAGAGCATCCTCTCCAGAAGCTCCACAAAGAGTCGAAGGTAAGAACTTGCTAAATTGCCTAGAGAATGCTAACTTGAGAGGAGGGAAAGGCGCGGAAACTTGCTTTGATCTGCAAAGTAACACAGCGCTCAAATCCTACTGTTTCTTTAGTAAATGCCAGTTATGCGTTTTATCATTGTTGTATTTATTATTTTTATGTTTAGTTATTTCATACTTGAACATCTTGTTGTAGTGTCATAGCTCTGACTAAATGAAATGTGTTCTTCATTCACAGATTCTGATAAAAGAGCCCTCCCCCATTGGGGTTGACAGGGCATGGAGGTAAAGATAATTCCTCCTCATACCATTGTAAATAGTATTGTATATATTCTCCTGGTATAGTGATTTACAAATTTATATTATTTACAGGTGGTGCATCAAGAGGCAGTTGCTGTGCACAAAAAAGGTAAAAGGACTACTATTTCTATTCTTGTACATCCCATGGCAATATAATATAATAATAATATAGTATACTGTGTTTGGTTCAAAAATAGTCAGTCGATAATGTGGGAGGAAGGCCTTCATTGTATTTTATGTATTGATTTATTGTAACAAATTCACTGTATAATATAGTTATTGTGTGTATCCAATTTCCAGCACGTTCGTCACCCAGAAGCTCTGGGGAAGATGGCTGACAGGAGGATCAGTGGGAGCCGAGTCAGTTGCCCTTCACAGGAGCTCCTGGACCTCAGAGACTGCGGACAGAGGCTGCGAAGCTGGATTCATCTGATCCAGACTTTCTGGAGCTGGATTAATCTGATCCAGACTTTCTGGAGCTGGATTAATCTGATCCAGACTTTCTGGAGCTGGATTAATCTGATCCAGACTTTCTGGAGCTCTTCTTCACGGAGGGAGAACTACAAATGGTACACAGCGTGTCGTGTTCCGTTGCACACAGTGTTTCAACCTCTACAACTCAAAGCTGAACTACTGGGAGGACTGAAAAAGCAGATAAACTCACTCATACACACACTAACGAACACACACACGCACTCACGCACACACAGACACACACGCACTCACTCACGCACACAGACACTCACTCGCACACTGACATTCACACACACAGACACTCACTCGCACACAGACACTCACTCGCACACTGACATTCACACACACACACACACACACTCAAATTCACATGCTTCATTCTATTTTATACATCTATAGTTTTATTGATCTTTGTGTTGTTGTTGTTTAACGTTTTGGTTGATGGTATAGAAGAAAGTTAAATTTTCTATCTGTGAATAAATTGCCAACAATTTGCCATCAAAAGTATTATTTCAGAGTCATGTTTTTATAATTTTTGTAATGGAACAAGTGTGAAGATGTTTTGAGTTGTCACTAAAGCAACAAAAATTCATCTAAAAGTCTCTTTTCTGCTTGATATGTTCCTGTTTACATACAGCTCATTTTCTCTGTTTTCTTGCTCAGACCAGGTGTTGTGGGTGAAAGTATGCTTTGTTCTATGGCAAATAGCTCAAGAACGGTAAGAGGTAGAAACAAACTGTTTTTTTCAGAGTAAAGCAGAGAGGTTAATCTTTAATTTGGTGCCCTTTGTGTTTACATCGTCTAAAAAATGAATATTCTGTGGCACCTGAAATTGCTGGCAGAACGGACTTCTCAAATCTGAAAATGCCTGGCAGTCAGTGAGTTAATATCCACAACAGAAAAACCCGGAGGGGGAGAAAAGTCACTTGTATCAGGGGTCAGGCTGATGGTGCGAAGAGAGGGAGAGAGGGCAAAGGAGGGAGAGAGGGCAAAGGAGGGAGAGAGGACAGCGGAGGGAGGGAGGACAGCGGTAGAACAGCGCGTTAAAGAGGCCCGGCTTTTCGGAGTCAAAGGTAAAGAGGTCCGCACATTAAAAGCGGGTGGCCGGTTTATGCCTTTACTGACAGTAACTTTGGAAAGAGAAGCCGCGGGGATGAACCGCATAAAGTAACAGCAGAAAGCGGCCGCCGCTTTTAATGTGCGGACCTCTTTACCGCTGACTCCGGAAAGCCGGCTCACTTTACCGCGGTACAAGAACAGAGAGGGCGAGCCGCAAGAAATGCGCTCCACTTCTGACTTCTGCTGAGGAGGGAGCCCACCAAGCCCATCACTGTGTCACTACATGAGTAAAAATATGCAAGCCTCCTTTTTTGGGCTGGACATTGCAGCTCGGTAGTGGCGTGAGTCTCTAGAAAGCGTTACTCCGTATCAAGGAAATACATGCTCATTTCATGTGACAAAAGGGCGGTTGGGGGGGGGGGGGTCGCGGGTTAGCAGGGCATTTATGATGGGGGTCACGGGTGTAATGACAGTTTTTAGAGTAATTAAATTAGAACCAGTCGCAGCAAATACACGGACGACTGGGCCTTTAATTAATGCAGAGACGGCCGTCTGACGCCATGCTGAGTTTGCCAAGGCCTCTGCTGGCTGCTCCTTTCACACCTAAGACAAAGGCCTTCCTGTGTCTTGCGCTAAAACAAAAGGTGATGTTTGCATGATAATCTCAGCCCATGTGACGTCACGGTTTTGGGGCCCTGCTGTGCGCCTCCTGGGTATATGTATTGGTACAGTAGCTGTGCCCCGGGAGAGCTCACGATGCAAGACTGTATGTCGGCTCTCCGCATATATATGTGTAAAAGAAATGTGTTTACATCTTTGATTTAAGACAAATACCTTTCCAGCTTTTTCCTTTATTGGGGTATGTAATTCCACAACAATTTGGCGTTGCTGACATGTCTTGGCCTGGGTTTTTTCGGCGGGGACGAGCGGTGCGTTCGGCCGACCTGGAACAAAACCAGCCTCCGCTCTATTTGGAGACGAAAGGAGGGCGCGCTCGTCCGGCGCATGAAAAGAATCTTTGGCCACACAAGACCAAAAAGAACCTGATTTGTGGTGAGTTTTGTCTTTTCAAACATGTAAAGCTCAGGGCAGCGCTTAAGTGTACACGGGTATTTGATTTATTTACGTATTTTGGGGTATTTTGTTCATTGCCATTTGTGTAGGGTATGAGATTTAAGCTAGCGGCTGCGTGTTAGTATTGCTCTGTAAGCAACCCTGAAACTCTTTGTGCCTTCAGCCGGGCCCGGTCCGTTTCAAGAATGCGCGCCCGTTAGGTGTATTGAACTAACGGGGGGGGGAACGGATCGCTCCAGAGTGAGGAAGAGCAGGGAGAGACTAAGCGGGCTAGATCCATTTGTTCTTTAAGAGAAAATGGAGGGAAGTACACTAGAAAGGGATTCAGACGTCCCGTAACAATGGCAATGGAAAAACGGTTGCAAATTATGTGCTGCTCATTCGGATCTTCCGGAGGGAGGTTTTTTTTTTTTTTTTTTATGTCCTTCAATTGATTACGCGTCTTGCGTGAAAATTAGAAGAAGGAAGGGAAATATTACTTGGTTTTAAGAATATCACGGCAAAAGACGTTAGAGAAAGAAATATGTAAAAACAATAGCTCCTCCGCTTTTCACCGAAGCGGAGAACACACAGGCGAACGCGTAAGGCGACCAGCCCCGAGAAATATTCCCCAAACTCCCCTACTAACAATAAGTGCGCACCCAAACAAGGCGTTGGGTTTTTAAAAAATGAGCAGACTACTGTTGTCCCCTTTTCCTCTCCCTGTCCAGGTCTGTCGGCGCTTTCCTCCGCGCTCTGCCCTCCGCCTCAAAGCCCCAGCCCCCACGCCCCAACCACGGCGGCGACTCACAGAGTCTCTCGCACCAGCTGAAACCCCGCGAGAAGTGGGCCCAAACCCGGGAGCAGAAGAAGAAGCGGCGGAAGCAGATACACGCTCAGGAAACCGAAGCTCACGACTCACTCCGTGGACACATTATGTGAGACACCGACAACTGCTTTGGAGGCCAGAGACAAACTGCTCCAAATCCCGTGACTGTTGCCCCACGGAGGCGGCAGCGTGAAACACCAAACGCACCCGCTGAAACCCCGTTGAAAGTTGCCCCCGCACCGCAAACAGAAGAAGCCATTGGGACCGGCACGTTTGGTTATTAACCAACCCTCATGGACCACAGGCTAACATTATTTGAACGCTTTGGGCTACCTGGGCCTCCTGCGGACTTTGAGAAACTTCCACAGCCCGGCGGAAAGACTGTGTGCTCGACATGTGTCGAAGGACTGTTACCGGAGGAGGCGTTAAAGGCAGAGGACCTCTCAAGCTCACACGGGGCCAGAGGACGGCAGAGGCGGGCGTGGAGGAAACACGAGCGACTGATCAAACCCGGGTTCACATTCGTCACCAAAGCGACCGCTCATGTCACGTAAGTTTGAACAAGAACAAATTGCAATTGGCACTTTTTAGAGATAATTCATGCTGAATTCCCGTAATATACGCTAACAATCTGTGGTGTAAAAGTTAAAATTCTGGATGATTCAGGGACAACAAATCCTGTGTTAAAAACAAAACATAAGGTGACAGATTTTGGTCCTTTCTCAAATGAGTGGTCGCTTCACAAAACTCATGGCTTCAGTGTAGTGAAGATAGGCTAACGGAGTACGTTTATTGGGATAGGCACGACTCCGCGGTATTACCTAACGTGTTTATCGACCCACTGTGCTCCACTTTGCACACAGTTTTGTCCGAACCCACGTCTGCAGCGTGGAGGGAGGTCCCTGCATGTATTAATAAGTGTAGCAGTGCTGGAGGCTGGACACAGGTCCAAGATGGACACTCGTGGTTCTCCAGAAATGCAAACGCATGGAGAAGCCCTTTTTATTTTTTTTTATGGTTCTCTGGCCGCAGGAAGAAATGTGTGTTCTGGCCCTGACAGCATCACTTCAGCCCCACGGGGGGCGGGGGTCATGCTGCCAGCGCCGTATGCAGCGACCACGCCGGGGCTGCACACGGTCCCACTGAAGGATTTTGAATAGGCCTGATAAAATTGGAGTGGCTGTTTGGATTTTTGCCACTTGTTTGGGTTGAATGAAACCGTACATTAAGGAGTTACATGCTGGTTTGAATCTTGTGTTTTAGTGCCTTTGACTCTCCACCAAGTTTGCATAAAAGCAAAAAAACAAAAACAAAGAGATAAACCCTAACAAAACGGTGTGAAGGGTTACAATTTTATCCCAACGGAGATCTGTTTCATAATCTGATGGACAGATGCCAAAATGCATACCTAAATTCAACATGATCAGAGGGTTGAAACAATTTTTTATTTTCTAAATTGGCTGGCCAAAGCTGATCTTCTAAACTGAATTAAACAAAGAATGAACAATCAACATGGTGAAATCAAAATGGGACTTATTTTTATCACACTCTTGTGGGGCAAAAAGCCAATCACAATAGTGCATGACGTTGGTCACTCAGGTCCTTATTGTTTTAATGCTTTTGAATTTACTTTTTACGTAGTTTTGGGGTTGTGGTTTTTGACATTTTGATTTATTTATTTTTCCTTTTTGCACTGCGGTGGTGTCTCATTTTTCTCCACTAGTGGAACGGATGGGTGAAAGACGATCACGCTTTCAAAATAAGAGCGCTCAACAAATTCTGGGCTGAAAGATATGAAAAGATATGAAATTTGATGGCCTGAACAAACATTTTTTTTTTTTTACAATGACTTTCTGACCTGACCTGACAACTTACTGCGCAAGCGTTTTTGTTTGTGTTGATGTCATTGTGTGTCCCAGTTGATCGTTGTGTGTGTGTGTATATTTGATGTGCGTTTCTGGTCATTTATTTACAGGCAGATGACCACAAACACGACCCGCAGCGGACACAGGATAACTGTGTCCGCTGGATAAATTCTGGATAGATTCTTGCTGTTCCTTTTTTTCAACAGGCTGAGCAGTGCATTTAATGACAACTAACCACTAACAAACTGACACATAACACACCATTGTTTCATTTGAATAACTTGAAACTAACGAACCGTTGCTGTTTCTTTTGGAGCAGGATTCCACAGGTACAGACCGGCTGCTGGAAGTGTGAGAACATACGAGTGTCGACAATTTTACAACCGAGTCTGTTATGTTGTGTGTTCTGATTTTTATATTGTTTGCCCCACCACCATTCAGCACAAACCGCTGAACTGGTCGCGCTCACCAGGGCTTGTGAGCTGGCAGCGGGCAAAACTGTTAACATATTCTGTGATACGCGTTATGGTTTCTCTGTGGTGCACGACTGGGGGGCACTGTGGAAACACCGCAATTTCATGAAATCTGATGGTAAACCAATTCTTAATTCCACACAGGTTGAACATCTGCTGAAAGCTGTAATGTTGCCCTTAGAGATCGCTGTATGCAAATGCCAGGCCCACACTAATGCCACTGACCCCATCTCTGCAGGGAATCGGCGCGCGGACAAGGCAGCGAAGGCAGCGGCATACTCACCTCTGCCCACACAAACACACTACCTCACTCAAGACGTTGATATTTTCTCCTCTCTGTCAGCAATGCAGGCACTGGCTACTCCAGCAGAGACGGTGCTGTGGGAGGGAAATGGGGCTCAACGACGGCATGGTGTGTGGCTGGGACCAGACCTCAAACCGTGCTTACCACGGCATTTCTTCAGACATTTTGCAATTTTAGCACATGGTCGAGACCATGCCTCAAAAGGAGGGATGTGTAACTTAATTACACAAAATTGGTATACGAAGGGGTTTACGGCATTTGCACAGAGATTCTGCCAAACATGCGCTATCTGCCTCGCGCACAACCCAGGTAAGTCCCAAATTATCCAACAGGCTGCCCATCCTCCGCCCCTGCGCCCATTTCAACATGTCCAAAGGGACTTTGTTGAACTCACACCATGCCAAGGTAAGAAATACTGTCTGGTTCTGGTGGATCTCTGGTCCAAATGGACTGAAGTATTTGCATGTAAACACGCCACGAGCAACGCGGTGGTGAAAGCTCTGCTCACAGAAATTGTGCCACAATGGGATGTCCCGGAAAGGAAAAAAAAAATAATAATAATAATAATAATATATAATTTCTAGTGACAATGGCAGTCACTTTGTAGCAAAATTATTGAGGAAGTAGGTCACTTTCTGGGCATTGATATAAGGAAACATTGCGAGCGAGAGAATGGCACTCTGAGGTCAAAACCTAAACCCATTCGAAACCCTCTTTGCCAGACCGCCCAACTTGGGAGCGGGACCCCGACCTAGAGATCTGCCATGCACCTTTTGTGTGATGACGACATGCTGTCCTATTGTAAAGAAATGAATGCACTACTGTAATCTATTTCTGCCTAGGTCAGGAGCGCCCTGCCACAGGCGGTGCAGGCGGCTCTGCACGAGATCGAGCCATACGACTGGGTCCTGGTGAAGGAGACAAGACGGAAACATGGATCCCATCCTCATCCTCCTGGTGACGGACACGGCCGCTAAAGATCGCAGAGAGGACAGCTCGGATCCACGCCAACCACTATCGTGCAGCGCTGCCACCGAGGGCCATAGACGAGGACACCGAGGGTCGGGACGGAGCAGGCATATTCACGGCTCCCTAAGCATAAGGGGCCGGCCGGCGTGAGAACTCCGTCACTGGAGCAGGCCCACAACAACAACAACACCCAGAGAATCCCAGCGTTCCCGAGGCGCATCCCCAGGAACAACACGACGTCCCATCTCCCTTGCCCCCGGACCCCAAGGTCACACCCCGAAGTGCCGAGGCCAAAGCCCCAACGCGATTAGGGTCTTGCCGCTCCAAGACCGAACATCGCCATGACCACTAACGCTTCACACACGCTCAGAGGGAGCGGTGCCCCTGAACGCTCGTGAGCATTTCCGCGGAAAAGACTACAGAACCCCCGCGTAGCAGGCTAATACCGGCATGGGCCCGTGGCATATTATGTTGGACACACTGTCCGCACTCTTATCGCTGTCCGGATCCATTGTGTTATTATAATGTGCTCTTTCTTTTATTGACAAACATGTTTCTTTTCTTGTCCACTTTGGACAGCAATAATTTAAGTGTTTCAAGCTTGAAGGTGATGTGATTACGATGCCTCTGGTATTTAACTGATTAATGCAAAAATGGTTTTGAATTATCAAAAGAGGGGAGTGTAATGACAGTTTTTAGAGTAATTAAATTAGAACCAGTCGCAGCAAATACACGGACGACTGGGCCTTTAATTAATGCAGAGACGGCCTTCTGACGCCATGCTGAGTTTGCCAAGGCCTCTGCTGGCTGCTCCTTTCACACCTAAGACAAAGGCCTTCCTGTGTCTTGCGCTAAAACAAAAGGTGATGTTTGCATGATAATCTCAGCCCATGTGACGTCACGGTTTTGGGGCCCTGCTGTGCGCCCTGAGTATATGTATTGGTACAGTAGCTGTGCCCCGGCAGAGCTCACGATGCAGACTGTATGTCGGCTCTCCGCATATATATGTGTAAAAGAAATGTGTTTACATCTTTGATTTAAGACAAATACCTTTCCAGCTTTTTCCTTTATTGGGGTATGTAATTCCACAACACGGGCTAAAAACTTTGGGAACCCCTGGGATAGAGCACCACAATGGCTCACATAGATACAGCAGTCATCTCAAAGACAGTGATCGTCCCCAGAGCACACCTCTGGCCCCCACCCCCGGCGAGTTCAAAGGGGGCCAGTGGGTCTGCATCGCCCTCAAACAAAGCCATAGACATCACCCATGGGCCGGCGATCCGGCAACGGCGTTCCACCACCCCCCCAGTGGACAAGGGACGCCAATACACCTGAGACAACTGAAACCACGGATGAATATGTTGTTTTGCTAACATCTTAAATCAGAAAACGTGTGTACCATTGTCTGTGAACAAGGTGTGTTGTGTGTCTATGTCTAAGTAACGTGTATGTGGTTAAAACTATGATTTCATGAAAGGAGTTCTGGAGGCGCGGAAAGTTGACGTCATAAGACACGCCCCCAGAGCCGGAACAAAAACAGAGACACAGCAACTTTTTGTGTGTTAACTTTTGCTTGTGAACCTTTTGGGAGCTCTCTTTTGAAACTTTCTCTGGGCCAGTGGGCCGCGTCTTGGAGCGCGGCCCACTCCCCTGCGCGATCCAGGGGCCGACAACTTCAACCCAGGCGCAGGTTGGAGCTCGCTGCCCGGACAGCTGCCCGATCCTTTTCCCTATCGAGCTGAACTCGACTTGCCTGTCCCGCAGCGGCGTAACTGCTCTCCAACTCCCACCAAAAAGGAGCACCGTGGACCATCGCGCCTCAAGCCACCTCTGGGCTTCCCGGGACCGATCCCCGCTCCCGTGTGTGGGAAAGACTGGAGTGTTTGACCGCCTGACCCAAACGGGTGGAAAACATCTTCACCTCTGGGACTTGGCAGTAACAGTAAGACTTGCTGGAGTTGTATTGTGTGTTATGGTGATGTGTTTCTGACATTCCTGTTCATGTGACTTATCATACTTGTGTGATCCCTCCCCGTTACCGTTCCTGTTTCTATATGTAGTTAATAAACCCACGCTAACTTTTAAGAGTCGTCAGTGTTCTTTGTATAATTCATGATATCCCTGGCCGATATAGAGCTCAAGACCTATCAGATTTGCAAGACTGATCGAGGCAGATTAGTTGGATCTGTGCAGACTTTTCGAACTCTGCTGGTGCCCCTCTTACTTAAAATTTAGATCCATTCAACCCGGAGTAGGCGAGGCTTAGGACTACGTTTGCGACGTTTAATACCGACACAAACTGGTACAAAGCCTCCCCTCTCCACATTCACTTTCTTACCCTACATGTTTGTTGTTTTCATTATTTACAATAAATATGTAAATGACCCTACCTGTCTGTCCCTCATTTTGCCACAAGCATAGAGCCAGCTTGTAACACCGAGCGACAGTTATCACTCAAACTCCGACTCAGAGACGCCATAGATAGACTCTTTTGTTTATTCCATCCTATATATACAGGAGAGAGTGAGCATAAGTCAGCAGATCTACTCGGGACCTGCCACGCGGTTGACGGTTGTATTTGCAATGTATACATTTACTGAAATAATAAACCACTCTTTGATTGTATTACAACTCTCGGTTGATTATTTTATATTTCATTATTGTGTCCTTTACTCTCCAGAGATTCCACAACACAACCAACGTGCTTTACAATAAAATCCATAAAAACATTTATGCATGCAAACAATAAAAAGCATTAAAAAAAAGCATAAAAAGGGTTGCTGTGAAATTGGATAAAGGGGAAGAAAATGGGTGGATAGATGGAGGAGTGTCCCACATTTGGATGAAGAAATTCCCCAAACTAATGATGACATCACTTGGAGCAGGCTTTAATCATTTGAATAGAAAATATGCCTCTGTCTGGATTTGCCTCCTCAGCTAGAGGGAGGGAGGATCTTTTCCATCACTACATCCAGTTGGCACTTTAACTCTTTCAGCTCCCATCCCTGCCTTTCTCTATGCCTCCGCCACATCTCAACACTTTTCTGAAAAACACATTGGAAAGATGAGGAAGCTAAATCCCTCACTGTCTATTGTTCTCAGATTGACACCCATATGCTTATTTCTGTAGTTTTTCTGCTAGTCTGCGATAACTCAGAGACAACTGGTGGTTTGGCCACACATTGACCTTTTCCTGGTTTCTGATCCAGTCTCTCTAGGATTGAAGCTTCCCCTTCTACACTAACCATCTAAAACACCTTGTAATGAATATAGCGCACACTGATGATTAATATAAGGCATACCTGTGATTAGTACAAACCATATCAAACAACAATGTAATTGTTAGTATATGAAGTTACTGATAATAACAGGTGATCAGCGTGTGTGTGCATTTTATTTATAGTGCTAAACCTTTCTGCATTTAACACTGCGTTAACAAATGAAAGGCAAATTGAAGGCAACATTGATACTTTACAACCATGCCGCTTTGACTGTTCATGGGAGTGGGAAAACCCCTCCTATGATTTTGTGCAAGCGCTTAGTTGTACAGGGATTATACAAAACAAAGAAATGTTGCTCATTCATCATCTGACTTCAGTTAGCAGGTTTTCTAGAAGTTTCGTCCTTAATCAAAAAAAGTTTTTCAAGGAAATGAAAGCTCAGCTGTGAGTTGGAGATTTATAACCTGTGGGTGCGGTTAGACACCCTCTGATCCTGAGGCTAACTCATAAACACATCTAAGGTCAGGTCTAACAACCCTGCTGGAGCTAACAATCCTAACTCCTTAGCATGTCATGTGTGTGGAGTGCAGGTCTCACCACTTCATGTCACTGACCATATCTATTGTTAGGGTATTGTTTGTAGGACGTCGTCATAGATGCAAAGCAAAACAAATCTTAAACCGCCTTCTCTGTTTAGGGATGGTTTGTGTTCCCTCACAAAATGGCTTTTTTCACCCCTCACTCACCCCTCCTTGTTATCATAATTATTAACATTTTATTCTGACAATGCTCGTGTTGTCCCTTGATGCTTCCCCGTCCGGTGCTGCAGCCTCAAACTCGTACTTTTATGATATGCCATCTCCACTTGGCAATGTGTGCAAACTACCACACGTTTGACAACTTTTGACCCTTCTTATTTATTCCCCTGTCGTACCCTGTGCCTTCTCCGTCATCTTGCATTGTCTGCAAAAATGTTTTAGAAACGCATGCAAATGAGATGCATGCAGACCGGTGCTGTCTAGAGCAGGGCACATAATATCTGTGAAGTAAACATATTGTAAACACACGAAGAATCCATGCAAAATGGGAGAATTTATGAAACAAGGCAGCATGCCGTAAACAAACTACCGAATACAAAGCATCGAGGCAGCGGAAATCCTTGAGTATTTTTTGTGATCGAATTATTCGAGTTATTTTATGAATTGTTTCAGCTCTAATTTTGATCTATTCTGAAGTTATAAAGTAAGTCGCCCCTGGCCCCGAACTCATGGGTTGCCCCCTCCTCCACCGCACAGCCTCACACCTCGTTCTACAACCTGAGTCCTGGATCTAGGAGCAGATTCTTTTCTCAATGAGGGCCTCCCTTTTAGTCACTTTTTTTCCCCACTGGGTTTTGATCGTTCCTTACCGACTGATGATCCTGGTCATTTCTGGACAGTGCTGCTCCATTTGAATCAATGGCTCCTGTTTGTGGCTTTTTAGTGCAATTCCTGAGATTCTGTTATCTATCGTTGAGCAATCCACAACTGTGTGCAGTGTGCAAGACAACTGCTGTTGTGTTTTAGGGCTATACATGTGTTGAACATATCTGATCTAATTGAAAAAGAATTGGATTAAATCAGCGCGCAGGAGATTAATTGCAAATCATATATTTTTTACGACAAAGGCTCAGTTGGTAGAACACATTTGAGCCAAAACCTTCTTTGCAGACTCCCACTGATGTCTGATGTCGTTGTGTCCTTGGGCAAAATACTTAACCTCACTTTGCCTGAAGCCCCCACTGAAAGATCAAGACTATGTCACTGACAGAGCAGCCATCCTCCTGTGGACTCTCCTCCTGCAGGAGGATCAGTGAGGGGCTGGTGCTCTGTGAACTGGGTACAGATCTGACTGCCACCCCCTGACCCAGAAATTACTCAATCAATTTTATTTATAGAGCCCTTTACAACCCTCAAAGCAACCAAAGTCCTTTACTATATAATCACATAAAAATCCATAAAAACGTTAATGCATGCAAACAATAAAACACTTGAAAAGCATTAAAAAAACATAAAAAGTGTTGTGGTCAAATGGATAAAGGGGAAGAAAATGGGTGGATAGATGGAGGAGCCACATTTGAATACAGAAATCCTCCAACCTAATGACGATACACATCACTTGGCGCAAGCTTTGGATCATTTGAATAGAAAATATGCCTTTGTCTAGATTTGCCCGCTCAGCTAGAGGGAGGGAGGATCATTTCCATCAAATAAGACTATAGAAAGTCGCAACATATCTCACAAACATTCAAACAATCTACTGGAAGGGATGGGACGCAACGAGATCTGGGCATTCCTCATCTGGGGTATGTCACTTTATATTTGGTTAGGTTTATTTGTTATTTTCAAGATTCAAGAATTGATTTGCCATTTGCTGTAAAACCACATAGGGAAATACTGTGCATGACTACCCCAGTGTGCACCAGACAGAGAAGACGGCACACACCAGAGCTCTTGCCACTGAATGTATTAATAAAGTTTAAAAGGATGTTTTGATCCCTCCTGTGGGCCCACCACCCGCAGAGGGGTCCGTGGTGGCGAAGCGGTGCAGAGAGGACTGGGCGGCGGTCGAAGGCGGAGACCTCGGCGACCCAGTCCGCACACACAACAGCTGGCTCTTGGGACGTGGAACGTCACCTCACTGGGGGGGAAGGAGCCCGAGCTTGTGGGGGAGGTTGAGCGATACCGACTAGAGATAGTCGGCCTCACCTCCACACACAGCTTGGGCTCTGGAACCCAACTCCTTGAGAGGGGTTGGACGCTCCACTTTTCTGGAGTTTCCCGCGGGGAGAGGCGGCGAGCTGGGGTGGCCCTTCTCATTGCCCCCCATCTCAGCCGCCACGTGTTGGAGTTCTCCCCGGTGAATGAGAAGGTCGCGTCCCTCCGCCTCCGGGTGGGGGACAAGTCTCTCATTGTTGTGACGGCCTACGGGCCTAACAGTAGTGCAGAGTACCCGGCCTTCTTGGAGTCCTTGGGAGGGGTACTGGACGGTGCACCGCCCGGGGACTCCGTTATTCTCCTGGGGGACTTCAACGGCCATGTGGGAAACGCCAGTGACACTTGGAGAGGGGTGATCGGGAAGAGCGGCCCCCCTGATCTGAACCCGAGCGGTGTTCAGTTGTTGGACTTCTGTGCCAGTCACAGTTTGTCCATCACGAACACCATGTTCGAGCACAAGGGTGTCCACCAGTGCACGTGGCACCAGGACACCCTAGGCCGGAGGTCGATGATCGACTTTGTTGTCGTATCATCTGAACTTCGATCGCGTGTCTCGGACACTCGGGTAAAGAGAGGGGCGGAGCTGTCAACCGATCATCACTTGGTCGTGAGTTGGATCCGCTGGCAGGGGAAGAAGCCGGTCAGACCCAAGAGTATAGTGAGGGTCTGCTGGGAACGTCTTGCTGAGCCCCCTGTCAGACGGACTTTCAACTCACACCTCCGGGAGAGTTTCTCCCAGGTCCCGGTGGAGGAGGGGGACATGGAGTCCGAGTGGACCATGTTCTCTGCCTCAATCGCCGATGCGGCGGCTCGTAGCTGTGGTCGCAGGGTCTCTGGTGCTGGTCCCGGCAGCAACCCCCGAACCCGGTGGTGGACACCGGCAGTAAGGGATGCTGTCAGGCTGAAGAAGGAGTCCTATCGAGCCATGATGGTTCGGGGGACTCCTGAGGCAGCTGTCCAGTACCAGCAGGCCAAGCGTGCCGCGGCCCGGGCTGTTGCAGAGGCAAAAACCCGGGACTGGGAGGAGTTCGGAGAGTCCATGGAGCATGACTATCGGTCGGCCTCGAAGAGATTCTGGCAAACCATCCGGCGCCTCAGGAGGGGGAAGCAGTTCTTTGCCAACACCATCTACGGTGCGGGTGGAGAGCTGCTGACCTCGACTGGGGATATTGTCGGGCGGTGGAAGGAATACTTTGAGGTTCTCCTCAATCCCCCCGTCACGTCCTCTGTTTCAGAGGCAGAGGCTGAGGATGTTGGGGCAGATACATCCATTTCCCTGGCTGAGGTCACAAAGGTGGTTGGTAGCCTCCATGGTGGCAAGGCTCCGGGTGTGGATGAGATCCGACCTGATTATCTAAAGTCTCTGGATGTTGGGGGACTGTCTTGGCTGACACGTCTCTGCAACATCGCGTGGCGATCGGGGGCAGTGCCAATGGAGTGGCAGACCGGGGTGGTGGTCCTTCTCTACAAGAAGGGGGACCGGAGGGTGTGTTCCAATTATCGTGGGATCACACTCCTCAGCCTCCCCGGTAAGGTCTACTCCAAGGTACTGGAGAGGAGGCTACGGCCGATGGTCGAATCTTGGATCCAGGAGGGGCAGTGTGGTTTTCGTCCCGGTCGCGGAACACTGGACCAGCTCTACACTCTTCATCGGATACTCGAGGGTTCATGGGAGTTCACCCAACCTGTCCACATGTGCTTTGTGGATTTGGAGAAGGCGTTCGACCTTGTTCCCCGGGGTGTCCTTTTGGGGGTTCTCCGGGAGTACGGGGTCGTGGGTCCTCTGCTGAGGGCCATCCGATCCCTGTATGACCGGAGCCAGAGCTGTGTTCGCATTGCCGGCAGTAAGTCAGACCTGTTCCCGGTGAATGTTGGCCTCCGACAGGGCTGCCCTATGTCACCGGTTCTGTTCACTGTATTTATGGACAGAATATCTAGGCGCAGCCAGGGGTCCGGTTTGGAGACCACAGGATTTCATATCTGCTGTTTGCGGACGATGTTGTCCTGTTGGCTCCAATGAACCAGGACCTGCAGCATGCACTGGGGCGGTTTGCAGCCGAGTGTGAAGCGGCTGGGATGAGAATCAGCACCTCCAAATCTGAGGCCATGGTGCTCGACCGGAAAAAGGTGCCTTGCCCTCTGCAGGTGGGTGGAGAGGTCCTTCCTCAAGTGGAGGAGTTCAAGTATCTCGGGGTCTTGTTCACGAGTGAGGGAAGAATGGAGCGTGAGATTGACAGGCGGATCTGTGCAGCGTGCGCAGTGATGCGGTCGCTGTATCGGACCGTTGTGGTAAAGAGGGAGCTGAGCCGAAAGGCAAAGCTCTCGATTTACCGGTCAATCTTCGTTCCCTCCCTCACCTATGGTCATGAGCTTTGGGTAATGACCGAAAGAACGAGATCGCGGATACAAGCGGTCGAAATGAGCTTCCTCCGCAGAGTGGCTGGGCGCTCCCTTAGAGATAGGGTGAGGAGCTCAGTCACACGGGAGGAGCTCGGAGTAGAGCCGCTGCTTCTCCACGTCGAGAGGAACCAGTTGAGGTGGCTCGGGCATCTGTTCCGGATGCCTCCTGGACGCCTCCCTTGGGAGGTGTTCCGGGCACGTCCCACCGGGAGGAGGCCCCGCGGAAGACCTAGGACACGCTGGAGGGACTATGTCTCTCAGCTGGCCTGGGAACGCCTTGGGGTGCCCCCGGACAAGCTGGAGGAAGTGTTTGACGCTAGAACTTCTCACTTTTCTCACCACTGGGTTTTAGAAGGTGTTCTTTGCCGATTCAGGAGGGTCCAAGGCTCAATGACATTCATGGCATTCTTCATTGCCCCTATGGACTATATTGTTGCATTTCCTTTGTTTTAACTGTTTGATTCTCTGATTTGTGTTGGCTAATTAACAGCTTTCTAGAGTCCTCCGAGACAACTACTGTTGTTATTAAGGGCTATACAAAGAAAATTAAGATTGAATTGAATTGCGGTTCCAGCCAATTGTCCTGTATCAGAAAAGGGGCCAAGGTTGCAGATCCCTGAACTTGGGAGATCCAATTCATCCTGAAATGAGTCTATTTTCCCCAGGTCTAAGAATAGTCCTGGGCTACCACTCTGTGTTCTATGAGTACCACTTCATAAACACACAGATGACTTGGCCTGCAGCCCAACAGTTCTGCAGAGAGAACTATGATGACCTGGCCACATTCACCAACATGGACGACATCCGCAGAGTCACCAGACCCTCTGACTACATCTACGCCTGGATCGGACTGATCGATGACCTCACTTCATGGTCACGAGTCATGAGTGCTAAGTCAAACTCTTGGAGGCGGTCATCCACTGACAGCACCAGTCCTGGAGGGTTCCAGGCCCCGTGGGAAAAGGGGGAGCCAAACTTCCACATGGCAGCAGAGACATGTCTGATGATGAGGAATGGACTGTGGCTTGATGCCAACTGTCAGTCCAATAACGTCAACTTTGCTGTCTGTGTCAACGGTAAGAAAACAATATATGCAAACAATGTTTAACAATGCCAAGTTGAGACAAGACCTCCCATACAGATTCTACCTGAATTCAGACTCCCTGTGTTAAGTACAGACCAGCAGGAGGCCAATCACTGTGCTCCTCAGAGTCCGAGTTGGTTCATATGGCACTAATATGTCATGGATGTACTTTTGTGCAAGGCCATGGAGATAATTGTGCACATGCAGAGCTGCTTTAAAGTCTATTCTTTGAGCCACAGAATAAGGGGGGGAGACTAATGTGGTAATGGGTTCTTTGTTTACAGGAAATGACGTCACGCCTCCCCGTGCATATAGCCCATTCCCAATTGAAGCTGGGTTGTTGTTTTAAAACAGGAAGCCAGTGCAGACTAGGGGTGGGCGATATGGGCAAAAATAAATGTCTCCTTATTATTCTATTAATATCTATTTTTTCCTAACTCCCGATAACAATATTGTCACGATATCTTTTTTTTTTTTAATTTCTTTCCGCTTAACCTTGAAAAAAACGTTTTCATGGTTAAGTTGAAGAAGTTGATAAGAAAGAAGTTGTTTTGCATCCTGCTAATAAGACTGCAGTATCATCCCTGAGGTTGATATAATGTTGAAGCCCTTAGATAACTCAAATCAAACTGTTTTGGCAGGATCAAAAGACTTCATTTTGGTGCAGTCATATCACACTTGGAGCGGAGCCCGGGACTTCTGCAGAAAGCGCTATGTGGACCTTGCTGTCATTGAAGATGCATCACAATTGACTCGAGTGATAAACCTGATTGCTCACCACTGGGTGTGGATCGGCTTCTACAGACAACCCTTCCTCTGGTCTGACAACCGGATCACTCACTTCACAAACTGGATCAATGGAGAACCAGACAACAAACAGAATAGAGAGCACTGCACTGTGGAAAGTTCTCTTCCAGAACATCCCTGGTTGGATGCAACATGTGAATCTATTCAAAACGTGATCTGTCAAAGAGGTAAGTTGTGTGCTTAGTGGATAGAACATGCAAAATCACAGCTTTTGTCATAGTTGTTTTTCAATTCCTGGTAGTTTTAGTGTCATTCGTGCATGTTTGATTATGTTCTCCTGAAAATCGCTCACTCCACTGAACAACACCACCACCACACTCGCTCTGTTTTTACTTTCTTTTGTTGTTGTTAGTAAAAGTAAAAACTTAAAAAGCATTTGTAGAGTGTAGTCCAAATCCATTGCAATCACACTGGACACATATATACCACAATCTGGATAAGCTTACAGGTCCGATCAGATCGCTTATCAACTTTTTTCTGCTTTAAACATCATTACAATTTGTGACGTGAGCAGCCTGCCTTCAGGAGATTGACAGTGGGAGGAGCTGGAGTCTTTCTCAGAGTCCAGCGTATGATCCATAGACTGTAACATTGAGTGTGGTTCATCTGCATATGTACCGATGAATGGCTAATCCACCTGCCAATCATCTGAATTACCAAAGAGGGCCGTTCTTCGTCACACAAAGAAGACAATCATTTGATTGATGGCCAAGTTGAATGATTTTTGTAGCACTCTAACTTCATTTTTCTTTCAGCAATCAAAACAAGAACAACTCTGTTCAAGGTTTCACTTCAGACTGCTGCAGATCTGGCCAGTTCAGTTGTGAATACTCAATTCCCAAACAAGGTAATGTTACTTGTGATGCCAATATATATTTTTCACACATTTTTGAGTGATAATGTCCTTGTCTCTTTAATCTAACAAGTCATTATTCTCGTTTCACTGGCAATCTTTCTATTTTAAATGAAGCACAAATCTGAGCGTACACACCTGCAGGTGTTGATAAATGCCATGCGCAAGCGTATTTATGAAAGTCACGCCTAGAAATATTCAGAAACCGGCTGTTTCACGCCCCGTTATTACGACAGGTCAGCAGGAAGCCGGCCAGCAAGACTAGTTGGAAGCCTCAAAAGGCCTGTTAGTGACACGCACTGAGTTTACATTGAATTTTATTTTATAATTTTGTTTAAAAAGAAATTTAAATATAAATATAAATAGGCTAATTTATGTATACGTGTTTTTCCCTAGTGACCCACTGCAGCACTCACCTCTCTTAAACTTTAGAAGTGAATTAATTAATTATTTTTTTTATTTTATTTAACCTTTATTTAACCAGGAAAATACCCATTGAGATCGAGATCTCTTTTTCAAGGGAGTCCTGGCCAAGAGGTCTGTAGCACACGTCAAGGGCACTTTACAGAACAACAATAAAACAATACAATAATACAACAAAATACAAACAGTGAAATTACAAAACAAAATGAATCAATGAATGAAGGAATCCTAATATCTCAGCAGTGGCTCATCATAAACCGGGTGAAGCATCTGCGGAATCTTCTAGTGAATGCAATGAAGCGATCTCTGTGAGAGAGAAAGGATGCGTAAGCTTTCGGGAAGTGTCCCTGATTTCACAGAGAAACTCTGGTCAAAACGTCTGAATGCCGCGCACCACATTTGAAGAGTTTTGTGGTGGGACCTGTCGTGGCACCTGCTGCGTACTGCCCAAAGAGCGTTCTGCCCGTGAGCCCGTTCCTACAGATAAGCACATTGCCATCTTCTACATGTGGACAGGGCAGTGGCTGAGACAGACCATCAGTGCTTTTATGGGGCTTTATGCACAAAACTAATGAAAAATGCATTGCTTTAAATGAGGCAAAACAAATACCCATACGTATTTACGCACTGCAGGGCGGGTCACACATTAAGTAAGTGAGTAATTCAAGTGTATTTATATAACTCCTTTCATAGACCAGGATCACAAAGCGCTTCGTATTTTAAAAAAAACATAGAGATGACATTAACACACATACAACTCAGATTTAAAAACGAAGAAACAGAAGAGGGTCCTCATCATGATCTGGGATATATTCGAAATGTGCTGTTTCCAGAGTGTTAGAGTTTTTCTGATGTGCAAATTCAAATATCAAAATGTGATGCTCATTGAAAACGCAGTTTATAATTTTGCCAGAGTGGGACTATGTTTATTTTGTCCAAATCTTGCATTTCATGTGTGTTTTGGCGTGTTGTAATGAAGGTTGAAATGACCGTATACATTTACACCACCTACTGACTTGGCGTATATTCTGTGCGTACCGTACGCCCACATCCAAACTGATATATGCCGAATAGTGTAATTTTTTTGCGTACGCCTCATTTACACCCTGATTTGGCCGTACTCAAGTTTAATTAAATGAGGCCATTGTGATTATGTTACTGGTGAACGGCAACAGATAATAAACACGATTTTCTGTTTCTTTTCTAGCTCACCAAAATGTTCCATATCTTTGGAATTACTGATGTGAAGCTGAGTTGGAAAATGTCACCAGTGAAATATGTTCTGCAAGATGAGACATCAGATGGGAATTGTGTCTGATCACGTTTGCTCATAAACACCAGTTCCACTCCACCTGGCAAACGAGTGAAATGCTAAGAAATGTAACCGTATAAATACTCATGTTGTGTATTTGCTTGTGAGAACTGAATGTACATGTATAAGTAGTAAGTTCTGGTGTTGTTGATCCTTTGTGTGAGTTATGTACTGATCCATGTCTCTGTTGGAGCTTCAATCTATTCATAGTAGACCAAATATTAGGAGGCTAATGTCTCTAAAGCGCGCATCATGGATCATGGATCTATAATAATAACTGGATAGGGTGTTACTAGCTTACAGCTGTCCCACCCATGGACACAGGGGGCGCCCGTGGTACTGCAAACTAAATTCACAAGGGCTACCCAGAAAAAAGTCCCATAGAACTCAATGTAAACTAAAACAGCTCGACCTCAGCTGACAGAGAACCTACGTGAGGGACCTTTCATAAAGGTCGGATTTTGTGGGAATTTTAGTGTCCCTTGTCATCCTGAACATTTTTTCTTGTTAAATAATTCTGTTTTCCACTCTTTAATGCAACAAAAACTCTGCTTGTTTTCCTCACACTCTGGCTCCGCTTTAGCTCTGCTCTGATCTGAAGCCCCAAGCACGTGCATGAGAGCCACACACGCGTATTTGGCGCAAAGCATCATGAGAGCTTACCACCGCTCAGAACCGAGAGGACCAGACAATGCCCAAATATGGACAAGTTCGGCAGGTCTTTCGGTCCCCTGCGCGACTGAGCACGAACCATTTGAATAGGACGCCATCTTGGATTGCCCGGGCAGGCCACATTAATTTCCAATTGAATCTACAAGTTGAATATTTTCTTGGGGTTTTGTGTGTGTCTTGTCTGCTGTTTCACACAGACTTTGTAGCTGTCTACCTCTTTCCAGAGGTAGAACGACAGCGCCCTCTGCAGTCCGACTTCTTCAGGAAAGAATCCTGAGTGTTAGACAGCCCTCATGTCCCGGGGGCATTGAAGATTCTCCTCCGCCGACAACATGATGATGTTATTATATTTTTTTTCCCTTCAAGCCAAAACAACCATGCAAGACGGATGAATCTTAACAGAAATCAGGAAAGAAAGTAAATAAAGCTCTTATTGTTAGGGACTAGGTATCTGCTGTTAGAGGACTGAGGGGAGAGCAATGGCCGTGCATGTGTATGAAGATATAAACAAATCATGAATCATGCCAAAACTAGCCTGGTCTTACCACACTATCGTACAAATTTAATTTCGTACCAAAGTCTGGATTTGCTTCTTTGAGCTCCGTTAACAGGTGAGAGGGTTTAACTCCTCCAGAAGATTAAAACGATTGGATCTGAGTTTGCTGTGACGTATGCAAAGCGCCTGAGTGAATGAGGCTTTTAGCATTTAGCCTAGCTTTAACCATCCCCTTTGCCTCTAATGGCGCCTGTGGGGAGTAGAGCCAAAACTTCTTTGCCTGCAATGACATTTGCTAAACATTCCTTTCTTGCTATTTGGAGCTGAACCAGAACGGATTACTTTACTATCGCATTCGCCAACACAACCAGCAAAGTCGGCGCAAACTCTGGACGTCACGACAACTAGCTACAACACCCGCCTCCCTCGCTCGCTTGATTGGTCGAATGGGATACAACCGAGGTAACCACAGCCACTAGGATCAGACCCAGACATACATGTGGGGAAATAATAATTGAGTTTACGGATGGCTAAGGCCACGCTAGATAAAACAGCATTGAGTGCATAAATAACAAGGGAAAACATCTACACATAACTCTGAGAACTCTTGCCACTAGTGCACCAGTTCTCCTTTATGGAAACATTGGTTTAGTTGTCTTTTATCAGCTTGTTTGTGGGTATTCTTGTCTGTGTGTGTGTCTTGTTCTACTGTGTAACCAGAGTTTGAATAAAAAAATGATGATGATGATATAACAGAGCCAAAAAGTTCTATGTTATGTCTCTCGATTGTTGCTAACTTCAATTGTATTTGTAATGTCAATTATATATCTGAACATGGACCACTATCCAATTAGGTTCAACAAGAATTTTAATCTAGAATAGTCTCTTCTTTTGGCATGAACACCACCAGTAAAATACATTAATTGTTTATCAAGATAATAACAAATAATATGTCTAACTTATAATTCAGTGGTTGCAAATGCATTTTTTGTTTTGCAGATAATAAACAACATGATTTGAATTTGGAAATTTTCCAAATACAGGGTTTTGTACAAATACCTGCTGTAGCAGGACTGTCCTGTTCCTCCCAGCGGCTCCCCCTCCTCTGCGGCTGTGACCTGAAGTGCTCTTGCATTTCATTATTACTATCATTAGCTTTTTAAAATAATCAATTTATTTGTTTTGTTTGGATGGGTGGGTTTTTCCTGCTACTGGCCACTTGAATTTCTCCTACAGGGATCAATAAAGTATCTATATAGCGATATAAGGCTTATTAAGCTTTCTTTCTGGTTATTGGTTAGATTTTTTTTTACAGTGGGAGATGCAGTCAAAGGGAGAGAGCAGAGAACAGGGGTCCCTCTCTGCTTCACCCAGCTTTAACATAACTTCCTACTGCTACACTTGCTCCAGGACCCAGCCGAGAGCGAGGTCGACTTAAGTCATTGTTAACCCAAACGCTCATAAGTGGTTGCTCTGATGGACAGAGAAGAGGCAAAGAATCAATGCAAGGAATACCACACCGGAGACCTAAGTGTGTAATGCATGGACACAATCACAGTTTAGGGTTTGTAATTACGTCTGCTTGTTTCTCCTTCAATAGAAACCCATAAGGAGAAATATTAGCATTAGCAAGTGGTCTGACAGTTTGGACAGTGTTGACCTCTCACACACTATTTGCATGCATTTTTCCACAATTCGTCTCCACAGAATTGTATGCCAGTTGTGGCATAAAATATAGTGTCACCAAATGAGTACTGATGCAGAAAATCTCTTTTTCCAGAAGTAGATATTTGTTTACCCTGAGGAATTAATGAATGAATTAGTTTTACAGTGTGATTCTAGGATTCAATAGTTCCTCTATTGATAGATGACATAGCAAAAAGCAAATTCAATTCAAAACCAAATTTATTCTCATTCTCAGGTCAAAATCCCAACAGCAGAAAGACTTTAAAGAATCAATTGAAACACTACAAAAAGTGATGAAAATAAATTACAAATTGCTCAACTTTGGCAAAATGTATCTTAATTTGAGCACATTCTGACTGCCTTAAAACCAGATTTACCAATGGAACAAAGCAAAATTATCCCTTGAAATGATAAAATAAAGAAACAGTTCTTTAAATGAGACAAAATGGTTTTGTCACATTGGAGAATCTTGTTTTAACACAGTCAGAATGAAACCACCATTCAAGCAATTCTTACCTCATATTTTATCATTTTTTGCTGTGAAGAGACATGATCCATTAGTATGAAGCAGACCCTTCTTTTTAAGCAGGAAAAGTGTTTTGATTGGATTTGAATGAACAATTTCTTCCTTTTATATCTGTTACCGCTCTTTGTTTGAGAAGGGTCTGTCTGCGGCCTGCAGTACGGAGGCGTGTCGCGTAGTAGGCGTGTCGTGTAGTGACGTCACTACACGACACGCCTACTACACGAATTTTAAACCCGTTGAAAACTCGAAGAGAAGACATGGCAGACCGTACGCAAACAGTAAGTGACAACCAACAACGTGTTTTATTTATTTTTAGTCCATCACACAAGTTACAGTGTATTAATGAATAAATGCACATCACCCTGATTAGAAATATTTTTTAAGAAGTGAACTAATACCATGGATCTACAAATACATTGCAGAGAAAGCCATTCGTATGGGTTTCTTCTGAGTGTCATACTATGTGCGATCAACATGTTGTTAGGCACATTGCATAATTGCCCAAGTCATTTTACATCGTTAAAATGGCAGTAAAGAGGAAAAACATAATCTTTTCATGTTTTCCAAGCACAGTGGAAAATTAGTTAGGCAATTATGCAGTTACAGAAGTCACTGACCGTAGTTATTGGATGATGTTACAAGACATTTGTGTTTCTAAGTGTGCACAAATGTCTGTTTATGTCTGCTTTCAGTTACATCCTACGATTGTCAGTGATGGACATGGAGCTGCAGAGCAGAAGCAGAGGAACACACTCATGTGTGTGACTCGGAGCTGCAGAGTTGAAGCAGAGGAACACACTCATGTGTGTGACTCGGAGCTGCAGAGCTGAAGCAAAGGAACACGCTCATGTGTGTGACTCGGAGCTGCAGAGCTGAAGCAGAGGAACACGCTCATGTGTGTGACTCGGAGCTGCAGAGCTGAAGCAGAGGAACACGCTCATGTGTGTGACTCGGAGCTGCAGAGCTGAAGCAGAGGAACACGCTCATGTGTGTGACTCGGAGCTGCAGAGCTGAAGCAGAGGAACACGCTCATGTGTGTGACTCGTTTTAAACATGGAGAGGCACAGATCATCACACACATGCAAACTCATGAAAGGGCATATGCCAGTACTGTGGAGATGGTGGGGTATATATCTGTATATATCTTCTTCAACAACACTGCTACCAGACAATTACATGTTGTATTGGTTGCTTATTCCAAAGCCTGTGAAATTGTTTGACAAAAAAAAAGTTGTTTCAGTTGCTTTTCTGGATTCTATCATTTGTTTCTTCAGGCATGGAGGACGGTTTGCTCATTTCACCAAAGAGGGAAAACAAATGGTCAATGGGTGTCTTTCACCCATCTTCAGACTGAAGAGGAAGAGACAAATGTAAAAATGTGACATCACAATCATTACTGAGTGATATTCATAGTGGCCTTGAACGAACACATTAGCAACCTGCATCCTTTCAGCAGCGCCCTTGGACAATGACCAACCAGTGCAAGGCAAAAATTACTGAAATTGTCCAGCAAACACAGTTGGTAAGTGACTGACAACATTATAAGACGTTACATAAAGTGCACATGTTATGATTTTAATGTTGATACTGATGATAATGTTATGGAATAACGAATGCTAGAACAATTGTGAGTTACTGGAGGATCGTGAAAAGCCACTCCATAATTATTAACAACCATTATTTCAAAATTATTTGTGAGAAAATTATTGTTAAATTTTAGACAGCGGTAAAAGAAACACAGCGGGTGCGGCAACTTGCGTGTGCTGACGATCAAGTGCATGAAGGGGAGCAGCTCAATTAGGGAACACCTTGAGGTAAACTTATCAGCATGAAGATATACTTCATAATATAATTTGTTTGTCATTTTAGTCATACTGTCAATATGGCTATTACTATCAATAATGACCATCTCCATCCTCTAATGTAACTATTATTTTTACGGCTATCTTAACTGGGGACTTTGTTTCAACATGGGAATCCATGAGGGAGAGGCCAACCCTTTACTTTGAGGACGAGCAACTGGATGAGGTTGTCTCCTTCTTGTTTGCCGTCATCAGGGAGACCCCAAGAGCAAGACAGCAGAACGATTGGATTGACGTCGTCATGAATGTGCTCGAACCGTAAGTATAGCATGATTAACATAATTTTTTTTTTACATTAGTAGGCCCGAGCGCCAAGGCTGGCAAAGGGACTATTGTAATGAAAGTGTGCATAAAACAAACACTGATCCCCCTCAAACATAAACATCTCATGGTACATGTTTCCTGGATGTACACTACTAAAAATAAGTCTGCATTACAACATTGTTGATGTACAGAGATCATAAAGTCATAAGTGCAAGTCACTGACAATTTATTAAACAGGACACAACATAATTTAAGGCTGCATTTGGTTTTGTGAATTGTTGTTGTTGAATGTAACACATTTCACTCTTATCTAGGTGACAGTTCACACTCTGGCCGAGGCATTTCACCTCCTTTGCAAGAGGCAATTGGAAAACTCAAAAAGGGGCCAAAGTATGAACCATGGTAAGATTATTTTAAATATTGATAGAAATATTTCAATGTTCACTGCAACATCTAATCTGTGATTGTTCTTTTTGGACAGTGAGTTTAAACTGATTGTGGATGCCCTGGTGAGACATTTACAGGAGGAGGCAGCAGGGAAGCTGAAAGCATTTGAAGAAAGATGGAGATTACCGGTCTCTTCTGAAGCCTTTCTCTCAAGATTAAAATTTTGAATATTTGTTTTGTGTAGAACTTATTCAGTGTCTACATTTCAGAGCCATTCACATAACACAAATTCATAAAAAAGCATGTCCATAAAATGCCAGATAACAATAAGATGTTCTTGATGTTTAATCTCTCTCTTCTACATATTTGACAAAACACAATAATAATGAATGTCTGCTTGTCCCAAAATGCCAAAGCAGGGAGCTGGGCACAAAAATGTTATGGCATGGTCTCTTTATGACCAGTAATGTGAGACCATGGGCGTAGGAGTGTGTGGTGGTGGTGTAATAATAGCTTTAATTTGTATTGTGCTTTTCAATCCTGTGTTGACAAGTTTCTCAAAACGCCACACTGTAGTCTTATTCATTTATTCCACACAGCTGGGCTGGAGGATGCCAGGCTGCTAATCTGTGCTATTAGCCACCACCAAGCAGTCTCTCACTATGTCCACACATGTGGGTGAAGTGCATTGCTCAAGAACATACCAGACTGCACTTGGGGCAGCCAGGATTTGAGCCACCAATCATAGGCCCCTTTTATAAATGAATCTACACAAGCACTGACATTATTTTAGACTCGTTAACTTTTGTCCGGAGCCGCTTAAAATCCCTATTGATTGTCCAAAGTAGTCTGAATTAATGGCAGCTTTTGTAGGCAAATTTACTACTTTGATATTTACAAAATGTGTCCATGTCCCCCCAATAAATAATGATGACAATGACATGCCCCATAAAATTCATTATTGCGCATAAATTCATTATTGGGCATAGATAGTAGGTACTTACTACTAATCATACCAGTATTATACTAGATCCATGCTCATACCCCTTTACGAAACGTAGAGTGGGCGTATCGGGTCGTAGGCGTGTCGTGTAGTGACGTCACTACACGACACGCCTACGACACGCCTCCGTACTGCAGGCCGCAGACTTGTTTGGCTCTTGCATGAGAGGGCCCTGGTGCAGGCGCAGACACTGAACACCAGGGGGCGGTGTTCACTGCGCAGGATTCAGACAGCTGTAGATGTTGTGGTCTCTGGTTTCCACACAAAGAGACTGGTACGTGCCGTCTGCAGAGTCCAAGGGACGAGCAGGACAGTTCTCGTACAGTTCGTCCTAAAATCAGAAATATAAAAATACTTGTTGTGATGGGCATTTGTCTCTCACTCCACACCGAGATCAGCGTGGCTGACGAACAGGAGGCGAACGTCAGACCTATATTGTGCATGTTTTTTGTGGTTGTGGAAATCATTGCGACTAGGATTCAAACTAAGAAGCGTGAGTGCTATCCACTCAGCCACCGTGTCCCCCTACACGTTGAAGTATAACTGTAGAGATGATTAATTTAGCAAGTGATTAGAACTTCCATTCCTCAGTTCTCCAAGTGTTTTGCCTCTGGAGTCCTGGATCTACAGCCTCAGTCCTGGATCTACTGAGTCCTGGATCTACAGCCTCAGTCCTGGATCTACAGCCTCAGTCATGGATCTACAGCCTCAGTCCTGGTTCTACATCCTCAGTCCTGGATCTACAGCCTCAGTCCTGGATCTACAGCCTCAGTCTGGATCTATAGCCTCAGTCCTGGTTCTACAGCTTCAAAAAAAAAAAAAAATTGTTCATACCTGTAATTTGATATCGCCTGAAGTCTCTGCTTTGGGGGAATCTGTAAAAATACAAATACATTAATTAACTAATGTATTTGCATCTTTGTAATTAATTATTGAAATAATATTACCGATATGACAGTAGCATGAACAAACAGTCCCCATGGTCTGAAAGGGCCACAGGTTACCTACGATTAAACTGATCTGATCTCTCTCTGGTCTGACTTTTTTCTGACTGGTCTCTGTCCCTGGTCTCACTCTGGTCTCTCTCTGTCTCTCTCTGGTCTCGCTCTCTGGTCTCTCCCTGGTATCTCTCTCTCTCCCTGGTCCTTCTCTCCGGTCTATTCCTCTGGTCTTCACTCTCTGGTCTCTCTCCCTGGTTCCTCTCCCTGGTTTCTCTGTGTAACTGGTGATGAAACACTGACATTTCTTCACTGTGGGGCAAATCTTAGTCTATCCATCTATTTTCTTTTGCTTTATCTGTTGCCATGTCACGGGGGCAGCAGTCCACACACACTTCCTCCAGCTCATCTGGGGGAATCCTGAGGCGTTCCTGGCTGAGAGATACAGTACAGTCCCTCTGTGTCCTGGGTCTTCCCCTGGTCTCTGTCTACCCAACCAGGATTTTGTATAATTTTTGGTATGTTCTTCAAGAAATGCTTCATGGGGAAAAATACTATTACTACACCTTCTTCTTGCATTTTTTTTTTTAACCCAAAATCTGGTCATTTCTTGCCCTGTTAGGAAGCGGTTGGGCATATTGACGTGAGAAGGCCATCCTGTTGGCTCACCACGGTTTGACTTCTTCTTTCTGCAGACCCACAGTCCTCCAACCAACAGCAGCACAGCAGGGACCAGCAGCAGTAGCAGCAGCAGGGACCGTGGTCGAGTTGGGGCCTTCAATACATCTGCTGTTAAACAACATTACACAACATGATAATAACAATATTAATAATAATAATAATAGTATTTTTTTAGATTGACCAACACAGATCAGAGAATGAAACAGTTCAAACACAGGAAATGCAATGATGAAAACACATAGAGCCATTGGTCCATAAGGAGTAGATGACAATGTCCATAAATGTTGGTCTCTCTCTGGCCTCATCACCACTGTCCTTAAACCCTCCTACAAATTCCAGACCTTTTGTTCATGTTTTTAGTGGTAGGGGAAACCGGAGCACCTGGAACCTACGCACACTCGGAGAGAATATGCAAACTCCACACAGAAAGCCAGGACCAGAGGTGTATTGGTGGTTGTAGTGGATGAGCTTCCTCTCTGTTGGTAAAGCTGATCGTTGTCCTCTGCAAAAGAATCCACCAGTCCCTTTAATTTCCTGAGCTGCCTTGCATGTATTGTGCATATGAGATCCCGACAAAGTGGCTCGATCGTTTGAAAATAGAAATAATTTTTTTTTTTTGCAATAAACAGGTTATCACAAGCACTAGCAATGAGGGAAGAAAAAGTGTTGGTGGTTCATTATCTCAAAACATATGGACAAAACTATGAGATTTCAAGCACAACTGTATATTTTTAACCCCTCAATGCAGATCTCTGTAAGGGATCTCTGTGAATGGATTCTCTCTCTTTGGACACTATGGAACTAAAGCTAAACTGCTGAGGCCTAGTCTCTCTTTCTGGTCTCTCTCTCTGATTCCACTATGGTCTCTCTCTCTGATCTCTCTCTCTCTGGTTTCTCACTGATTTCTCTCTGGTTTCTCTCTGGTCTCTCTCTATAGTCTCTCGCTCCTGTCTCTCTGGTTTCACTCTGGTCTCTCTCTCTGGTTCAACTCTGGTCTCTCTCTGGTCTCTCTCTCCAGTCCCCCCCCCCCCCTCCTTTCTCTCTCTGGTCTCTCTCTCCTGTCTCTCTCTCTGTTTCAACTCTGGTCTCTCTCTCCTGTCTCTCTCTGGTTCCACTGGTCTCTCTCTCTCTCTGGTCTCTCTTTCTCCAGTCCCTCCATCCTGTCTCTCTCTGGTCTCTCTCTCCTATCTCTCACTGGTCTCTCTCTCCGTTTCCACTCTGGTCTCTCTTTCTCTCTGGTCTCCCTCTCTCCAGTCTCCCCCTCCTGTCTCTCTCTGGTCTCTCTCTAGTCTCTCTCACTTTCTCTACTGCTGTTTACTGTTATAACATACAGTAAATCTTAATGAAACAATAAAACCACTCACCGTCTTCCACCAGGACTTGAAACAGCGTGGAGGATGTGTTCCCAGAAGGTGCCACGGCTCCGCACACGTACAGCCCCTCGTCGGCTTTGGAAATGTTGAAGATTCCCACGGTCACCAAACGTTCTGAGTACTGGAGACTGTGCCGGCCGCTCTCGCCGTGGTCCTGGTCCGTCTTAACGATTGTTTCGCTGCTTCCTTCACTGCGTAGGAACATGAGTGCTTGGAAATAGGACCGGCACTTGGCGTAGTCCTGGACGCAGTCTGCAGAAGGCTTTCGGATCAGGACTTTAAGAGGACATTCCACAGTGAGGTTGTCGCCTGTTTTGCCAATAACTTTCTCCACTTTTGAGTTCTTGAGATCTGTGGAAATTCCTATAATAGAAAAGAATGTAATTCAATACATACATTTACTCTACATAAAATGCATACATGCTAGTATTTTAGTCGGAATGGTGTTCATCTTTGCAATAGTAACTTTAATTTTAACTTGCTTCCTAGAATACTCTCAATTACAATCAATAATCCTAAATAAAATCAATATTCATACAATAGACCTGGACCCAAGCCCATTCATCACAGATCTTCTGGAGCTTGCACCCAAAAACCTAAACTCCAAAATATACAAATTACTTACAAGAATTGACAATACCCACTCGCTTCCAATCTCACAATGGCAATAAGACTTAGCATTTGCTCCCGATGCCAATTTCTGGACCCAAACCTGTAACAACATTTACTTCATGACCAATAACTCAAACCTACAACTCATACAGTTCAAAGTTCTTCATAGATACCACTACACAGACCACAAACTTTCCAAAATGGGTTTCAGCACAGGAATATGCTCACATTGCACTCAGAATCACAAAGACGACTACCTCCACGCTCTCTGGCATTGCACACCGGTCAACACTTTCTGGCAACTAGTCACTCAGTCACTCTCCTCCATACTCGGCTGCCACATCCCAATGTCCCCCTCCCTCTGTTTACTTGGAGACACTTCCACACTAGACCTCAATCAATACCTTAAAAAACAACTATTGGTGTCGCTAACAATCGCCAAGAAAGTAATTCTAATCAACTGGAAATCAAAAAAAAACATACACATCACCACTTGGAAACACCTCCTGTTAGATCATTTATCAACTGAAAACTACTCACAGCTCTCTACACACACATCTACCTGTCCATTCCTCTCCTTCCTCCAATCATAGCAACTGGACTCAACAATCACACACTATAACCCAATATCATGGTTAAATATCCTACTATAACTGCGACAACAAAATACTACAATAGAAAAATGTATGAAATGGGATGGTAATGATGACAATGGCAATGGCACTAATATTGGCAATAGTGATTTGGGCAATAAATGATGATGATAACAATATTAATATTGAAATTGAATAATTAGAATAATAAAAAAAAACAATAATAAGGATAATGATAATGATAATGATAATGATAATAATAGTAATAGTAAGGGTAAAAATAATAGCGAACACAAATAGCACAGGGCAAGTGGAGAGGGGCCTTTCAATGAGGGTGAACAACCTGGAGTTGTTAGGCCCCACACACTTTTTTTTTAACGCAACACTAGCACAGGGGAAAACACAACATAAGTATTGTGATTTTCATTGTTTTCAAATATCTACTTATTTATTCTTTTTGTACGTTGTTTCTTTCTTGTTAGTTGCCGTTTGATTGTCATAGTTATTGCATCCTGGTCTATATATGTGAAAGAGTATATGTAGGTGTACATGTTTGTATATACAGTATTTCTCAGCTTTATATCTCCCACAAGCTCAAACACTTACACATGCACGCACACACACACACACACACACACACACATACTTACCCTACCCTAACCCCAGTAGTACCTTTGTTGTTTATTGTACTGTAACTATGTATTTTCCTGTATGCCTACTGTAAATAAATATAAAAAAAATAAATATATATATATATATATATTAACTTGCTCCTTCACTGTATCCAACAGATCAGTGAGTGGATGCAAAACAACTTCCTTCAGCTAAACACAGACAAAACTGAAATGAGTGTTTGGTCCCCAGAAACAAAGAGACAGCGTAATCTGTCACCTACAGTCTCTTTCCCTAAAACCATCGAAAATTTTCAGAAATCTAGGGGTAACAGTGGACTCAGACTTGCATTTTAATACCCACATCAAATCAGTAACATCAGCAGCTTTTTACCATCTTAATAAAACGTTGCCAGGATAAAAAATACAGTGTCTAAAGCAGACTTGGAGATGAGGTGAATTAATAATGACATGTGAAGACATTTTTCCTAAAAAGCGCTACATAAAATCTAAGTATTTTACTGCAACATCCTATTCACACGTTTTATCTTATGTCCATCACTTTACCTTAAAAGAGACAAATACATATGAAACTAAGCAATGAATATGATTTTTTTTTTGGTTGATCCGTCTCTGACTTCTGATGGTGTACATGACCGGTGTCTCAATGAGGGAGAAGTCCTTCTTATAAAAATATGAAATAGTACAATCAATACAAAGTGCATTTCTTGTTAATTTGATGATTGCCGATTGCTGACCTTTGATTGTGGACATCGCTGTGGTTGTTGTTGGCTCATACTGTATCGGCACCCTCCTGCCTGTAAAGAGACCAAGAAATACAATTACCTTGACTTCCGGCTACTTTTGTCTTGTTCTTTGATAGCTGCGGCTTTATATGTGCGGTCATGTGACTAGAATGTGTTTGTTTATTGCAGTAAAATCGTCAGAACAGAGGAAATAGAGTTTTATTTTAACTCCTAGTTATAGTAGCTATATACTGATGTTATATGCTAAAGTTAGAGATGTTCACTTATCATGTGCTCCTCATTCCTACTGTTCTGTAACTGGAATCTCTACATCTTAATCTTAAACTTTAAACATGTGGTAAAAACAACAAAACTAATTCTAACCTCTGCCCCTTATGGACCAATGGCCCTTTGTGATATTTATTGCCGTATTTCCTGTGTTTGAGCGGTTTGATTTTCTGATTGAATTGAACGTACCCTGAATGACCGTCAGCAAATGATCTGCGTATATGTCAAGGCCGGCTGGCGTGATCACTCCACATCGCTAAAGCCCGGAGTCTTCCAACGTCAAATTCGAGATATTGGCGAAGAGTCGGCCTTGGACATCGTTCTTCCAATAGACCAGGCCTCGCTTCTTGTCTGAGGCTGTGTGTTCATAGGTTTTGATGGTGGTGTGAGATCCGGACCTCAAATATCCGGAGAGATATTTGAGGGGGGTCTTGTAGACGTTGCACTTGAGTCCATCCTGGATGCAGCCGGGTGGAGGCTCCTGTCGCGTCAGGTCCTCGAGCAGACAACTGACCACCACGTTTCTTCCCACGACTTTCGTGATTTCCACCGTGGAGCTCCATGTTAGGCCTGAAAATGTGGGACAGTTACAGGGTTGGAGGTTTTGAAGGATCTCATAATATAATGGGGTTTATTATTAAGTAAAATCCTTGAAGTAGCACACAGCAAAAAGTGGTGAAATATAAGTCTGAAATTTCTCAATCCATCCATCCATCCCGTAGCATGTATCTTAATGTGATCGTGCTTTTCAGTTCGTTTCAATTCAATGTATTCTTGTATAGCCCTAAATCACAACAGTAGTCAACTCAACCTCAACCTTCTCCACTGCTGTCATCCTCTTGTCTTGTAGTCAGTCTTACATTTGACCCTGCAACCTTGGCAAGGCAAGGCAAGTTTATTTATATAGCACAATTCATACACAAGGCAATTCAAAGTGCTGAACAAAATAAGAAAGCATTAAAATCATAAAAAATCACAGAACATTAAAAAGAAAGATAAAAATATATCCCTCAGTTGTATGCACAGCTAAACAGAACTGTCTTTAACCTGGTTTTAAACATTGTCATTGAGGAGGCCTGTCTCACATCTTCAGGAAGATTGTTCCAGATTTTAGCAGCATGAATCTGAAAAGCAGCCTCCCCATGTTTAGTTCTGACTCTGGGCACTAACAGGAGTCCAGTCCCTGTGCTCCTCAGAGTCCGGGCTGGTTCATATGGTACTAACATGTCACTAATATATTTTGGTGCGAGGCCATGGAGAGACTTGTAACAAGCAGAGCTGTTTTAAAGTCTATTCTCTGAGCCACAGGAAGCCAGTGCAGAGACCTTCTTTTATAACTAAGTCTGATCACTTTCCATTCATTCACCACACAATACTCCTTCAGTTCCTTAGCATCTTACACAGAGAGATAAAGAAAGACTCACAGGTACAGAGAGCTGCACATACAAGCAGAGGTACGGTCTTCATGTTGCCAGTTTGGAATCTTGTGAGTGAACTTCTGTAAAATCTTAAAATCTGTCATACGAAACTAGGAACTAACCCAAAACATTGAGAAAGACGTTACCACAGCTACCAACGGTGCTCCGTGCTTTTCATCACATTTAACTTGAGTTTGTGTTGGATTGACAGAAAAGCTAGTTTCTGACTTCCCGTTAGTTGCAACGGCAATAAAAGAATATTCTGATAGTAATATGTTGGTGTTAGCAGCGCCGTCTACTGGCTGCACTGGGGAAAATCCATCCATTCATTTTCTTCCTATTAACACAATAAGCTGTTTCTGTGGAGTGGTTTTGGCGAAAGGCAAACTTGCATGGGGTTGAGCAGCTTAGCCATACCCATTTTTCAGCCACTTTGGACACAACTGGGAGCATGCTGATGGGGCGATAATTAGATCTGATAGTCTTGTCTTCAGATTAAAAAATTGGTAAGACAGTGGCCACGTTCCAGCACGATGGAACAACTCATGAGTGAGTGGACGCTCACTCATGAGATAAACCTACATCTTTTGCCTTTGAAGATTTAATAGACTTGATAATATTGACCACCTCCCTGTCTGTAATATTATCAAGTCAAAATATTGGTATTTCAGAATCAAGTGGGTGGTGAGCTGTTTGTGTGGATCATCTATTTAAATATTGACAACATTTATTGCCATTATAGGATTACATGATTTCCTTTGCGTTCCAATAAGTTTGTTAATGTTTTGCCATATTACTTTGCCACTTCCATTGGTACTTTGAATTATGTTGACAAGAAATTTAGCTTTGGCCTTCCGTAAGGCATGAGTGTTTTATTTATTTATATATTTCTATAATATATTTTTATTTTTTATTTAAAGTATAATATTGTGATCTGAGAGCCCCGTAATAGAATTATATGTTTTGATAATTCTTTCGGAGCAGCTTGTGAAGAGCAAATCAATTAGAGTTTCAGAATTATTGGTTAATATTGTGGGATTCTTTATCATTAAATTAAATTAAAATAATGAGTAATTTGTTTGAGTTTTTTCCTCTCTTTTTTGCCGACCCAATTAACATTAAAATCACCAATTCAAATAATTTCTCTGGTTGTGTCACAGTGATTAAGAAGAAGTTTTAGCTGTTCGTAAAAGTCAACTTTTGCACTCAGTTTTCGATATATGCATATGATATTAAATGACATTGTAGGAGACAGTGATATGTACACCAACACTTTCCAGAGTCATTAACTGGGAACACTCCACCGCCCCTCCCTTTGTCTCTATTCTTTCTGAATACATTATATCCAGGCATATTAATAACAGCCTCAGATGAGGAGCGAGTTAACCATGTCTCTGTTAGTCCCAGAAAACAAAAAAAGTTGTTCACGTTTAGGCGTCATACTTCTTATATTAAGATGACCACCAAGTAGTCCCTTCGCTTTTGATAACGGATCCCACACGACTTTAGCCTGATTGAGTGTGCGGAATAGTTTGGTGGTTTTATGCCGTTTGATGAAGGGCTTTCTACTTTTAGTTGGTAAAACTGTTTGTGTTTTAAACAAACAGTGTAAAACACAAACAGCCTCCGTCGAGCACAAACGTGTCTTCAGACCGCTTGCTCCATCTTGTTTTTGTCTTTTTCCTGGAGTTTTGCCACAGACAACTCTTACAAGAATTATGGATATCATTAACTGGTCCATGAACGCAATTGACACAATTTTTTCAACACGTAAGCGAGGACCGGACCTGCCCAGACGGGACGGCACCTGCGGGTTATACTCTTGACAGATGGAACAAGTGGAAGCCGTTATGTCTGTCAACCCAGTCTATCGAAGATTCGGAAGACGTATATATCTTTGGAATTCTGGTGGTTGGGATCCTCCTTTTCGGGTTTGGAGCAGTCCTTTTCTACCGCAAATTTGGAGGCATGGCAGCTCATAAAATTCACGACCTGCTGTCCAACAAAATTGAGGAGATGTACAAGGAGTTGACCCGTGTTGTGGTTGAGAGCGCCGTAACTGGACAACGGAGAGTTGTTCTTGTGGAACAGTTGCTTAAAGACCTCGCAACACGCTCGCTTGACACTGGAGATGCGGCTGAATGACATTGTCTGTCAGGCTTGAACTGTCTGACCCCGCATGGGTAAGCCCCTGTGTATGGAGGTTATTGGGGGCACCGCAATTCGGTTTAATTGGATTTATAGTATATCTGCCTTGCTTTTGACCTGCTACATTGCATATAAATTGTCCCTCTCAAGGCGACATGTTTTCTCCCTATCTGTGGCTTCTCTCTACTATCTCACATTCCTACTGGCCAAGGCCGAAGATAATCAGGTCCCTTCCACAACAACATTTGCAGCTACCAGCTCGGATCCCCCTCCATCCTCTCCATCTTCTCTCCCTCCCTGTCCCCGCCCCCTCTGACAGCCACATTGGCCAGGCGGTCAGAGGTGCTTATCCCAAGAAAAAATTCTGTGTTTTACACAAAGCACACTGTGTCTATCCAATTGTCTGTGAAACTGTGTGTTATTGCTCTCTGCTGTTTCTTGCTTGCACACAGCGCCGCAAATGGCGAAGTGGCACGCTCTCTGCCAAAACCATTTCCAAGTGGTAACCTTTTTTTGTTACTTAAGTGGCAATAAAAATGATTCTGATTTTGAAGTAACAGAACAATAGGAATGAGGAGACTGTGGTGATGTTACCACAACAGACTGTTTTTGTTTCGCAGTGTTATGTAGCGGCCACATCACCATGCATGAGACTCCGCAGTACTGGCTCTCCGAAGGTTCCTCTCTCTCTGTGACCTGTGATTTTAACCAGCTCCATCCACGAAACGAAAAGATCTTATTTCTGCGCAGCAAAGAATGCTCCTTCATCCTCATAGGAACCATAGACAAGGCAGGACACAGCTCCAAGTATTCAGTGGATCATTTGGGTCCTTGCTCTGTCAATGTGACCATTCACAACCTAACTGCAAGGGATGCTGGACGCTACAGCTGCGGGTTCGGACTGGAAGACGCGCCCAACCACGGCAAGAGTTCATCGTCAGTATCAATAGTAAGGGTGATTTCTATAAACCCCTATAGCTCAGTAACCACTTGTGTTACTCTCATCATTTTGGGCTTTAGTTTATATTTTACATGTTAGCAGTATGTCTGCCCCGTTATAGAGCAAATCTAATGCCGTCAAAACCAATAACCATAAGGAAATTGACGCTTGCTAGCTTCTGCATAAAAGGCTAAAACTGTGGCAGCATAGCTTCGAGGGGATAGAATCCGAGGAGAAAGTTTATAATAGCTTTTAAATTGACAAATCAAGTAATACTTAGTTCTAAGAGGGAATCCAATTCAAATATATGACCGAAGCAAGCTGTTTCTACCTATCCCATCACTGTTGTGTGAATAAGACAGTCTGTTCTAAGTGATCGGAGCAGTACATTGTATGGCCTCAGAGCCATGTCTGGAGTGGTAATGCACTAGAGAAGGAGCTTTCACACTCACTCAGAGAGCTATAGTTTATAGGTAACTGTTATCTCTTTCCACAGACTCAAATTTGACTCAGAAAGATCTCAAGGCAGGTAAGTTTTAGAGCCGGTTGTCTAACAGGTATGTCCCGCCTTCCCTTCTCTTAGCTATAGCTCAGAATCCACGGTGCCGTCAAGGTTAACCAATCGAGTGATGCCAAGGGCTGTCAATCATCGGCGCTGATGCTCGCGGCTGCGCGCATGCTCAGTTGTTTGTTTTCGCGGAACCTCCAAATCAAGCCTCTATTAGGCTCTGGAACTACATGAAAACTGAACAAAGAATTCTGAACATCTGCGCTGAGTTACTTATGTATATACTGAACCTATATCCATAATCAGATCCTCTGCACATGTGCCCTAAAATGGGCAATTAATGATAATAGCGGGTGTGCTTTTTTTGTGCAGAAAAACATTATTTTTTAAATTAAAACGTTAACAAATAATTCTGAAAACCTCCGTGCATGTGTATTAATAATGTATATGTATAATGTGTTCTCTGATTTAACATTTAAAAGTGTTACGGAAACGTAGGCGTAGACCAATCAGAAAGGAAGGGGGAGGGAGCTTGCGTCGTTTTTTTTTTCAAATCAAGCACCTCTCTCTCTCTCTTTCTGACAAACTCCAGACAATCACTTTAAAGCTGCACTAACTGACTTTATTTTCGTATTCATTACGAAAATGCTATCCATGTCCATGTAGTGCAGAAGAAAAAGTAGCGCAGGTTTGTGCTGGCGTAACATTATATTTTAGATCGAGTTTTGATGAAACAAGGAAGAGAATGTGTTTCGGGTCGCAGATTGTGACCAATCACAGCGGACCACTAGCCCCCACTTTCGTGAGAAATCTCCAGGTCCGTTAGCACAGACAGCTGAGTTAGCACAACAAGCGGCGGAGCTAACCTGAAACTTTCTCGTCTTTGTCACCGGTTACTGCTTACACAGCGAAACAGCCATCCAAAAGAAAGTCTCGTTCCTCCGTGCTTCCCGGTTCTATCGTTCTATGGTCACGCCATCCACGTACAAATCCATATCCATGTATTATCCATATTGGGAGAGGCTAGCTCCGTCTCAACACTGTGTGTGTGTGTGGGGGGCGATAGCTTCGTGGGTGCGGGGAGGGGAGCAGAAAGAGAGAGGCCATCGAGTCCGCGGCTTCAAAATCCCAAAGTCAGTTAGTGCAGCTTTAACACTCTCTTGGTGTTGGTCACAGGGGGACCAGACTGGGCTATGCTCTTTGTCATCGTCACCTATTTGCTTGTGGTTATCCTTCTTATCCTGTGGACTCTTCTGATCTACATTTGGAAGAAAAAACACAATAACTCAAATACTCCAAGGTTGTACTTCTTTTACATTATACTGATTTGGTTTACCATTATTTGGGTATGCAACATAGTGCTAACCAAAATAGCTGACTTTTGGACATGCTATTGTTGGTATTCCTTCTGATCAGCACACTTCAACTTTTGTGCAGATAGAACTTCAAAGCA